TGTTATCTACCAACAATATTTTTAAAAAAAATTTTTTTTAATGTAAGCTTAGCCAGGCACCGGTAGCTCATGCCTGTAATCCTAGCTACTCAGGAGATAGAGATCAGGAGGATCACAGTTCAAACTCAGCCTAGGCAAATGGTTCACAAAATCCTATCTTGAAAAAAACCTTCACAAAAAAAAAAAAAAGACTGGTGAAGTTGGTGAGTTCAAATCCCAGTACAAAAAAAAAGTGAGCTACTAAAAAATACCACGGTTACTTTTGGGTTCAAAAGTGAATGGTTTTTCAGATTCTTAAAGATCTTTTTAAAAGTAGAGCATAGATGGACACAGCTTTATTTAGTCATTCACTCAACAGATACACAGTAGGGTCCTGACTGCTGGACCCAACACTGGGAAGATATAGAATAGGAAAGACATGGTCCCTACCCTAAGGGAGCTTTTCCTACCAAAGAGACAGTCAGCTTATCACAGGGAATTACAAACTGAGAAAAGTGTTGGGAAGGCAATGTACAAGATGCTATAGAACAGGTTAAAAGGCAAATGTGAGATTTAACCTGGAAATTCACAGGATTTTCTAAGGAAATATGATTAAGGTAACATATGAATGGAGGTCATTCACATTTATACAAAAACAGATTTCCATAAAATGAGAGGATTGGTCCAAGCTACCTTGGCATCTTTATCCTAAAACAACTGTTTAAGAAAAAGTCTAACAAGTCTGAGGCCGGTGGTTCACGCCTGTAATCCTAGCTAGTCAGGAGGCAGAAATCAGGAGGATGGATGTTCGAAGCCAACCCAGGCAAATAATTAGCAAGACCCTATCTCGAAAACACTCATCACACACACAAAAAGGGCTGGTGGAGTGGCTCAAGGTGTAGGCCCTGAGTTCAAGCCCAGTACCAAAAAAAAATCTAACAAAGAATGCTATAATGTTTGAAAGCTAGTACAAAATTCTTTGGGAGGAGGAGACAAGGTCTTGCTCATCTCTGAATACCCAACATCATCTTGCCCAGGAGTATTAGTATAATCATATTAACTCAAATCTTTGCTGAAATGATTAGTGTCAGAATTAAATCAATGGTTATATGTCTTTAACTTAGCAAAATAAATTCACAAAGTCACATCTCCTCACATAAGAAACTCCATTCCAAATTTCCTTGATTGTAGAAAGATGCTTTCATCTACCTCACAGGATAAAGAGTCAATGAGATAATATATGGCCAAATACAAGGGGAAACTCTGAAATGCCTGGAATATATGTATATGGTATTCGTGACCAAAAAGCTTGATCAGCCACTTCTGATAAGCCAATTTCTTTAAATTCAATTGTGCTTTATTTTCTTTACAGTTAGAAAAAACTGTACCGCTCCCATAGCCTTGGTTTTCCCTGCAGTAGTGGGGCTGACGAGACCATATACATTCTAAGTTCCCTTCTAGCTCTAGATTCCCAGGCTTGGTGGTACACACTATAATCCCAGTACTCCTAACAGACTGAGGCAGACAGATCATGAGTTCCAGGACAGCCTGGACTACACAGCAAGACCCTGTCTCAAAAAATTAAACAAACAAACAAAAGGCCAGGCACAATGCCTCACTACCATAATCCCAGCTACTCAGATCAGAAGGCTTGAGGTTCTAGCCCAGGCAAAAAGTTATCAAGATCTCATCTTAACAAAACAGCTAGGCCTGGTGGTCTGCTTCAGTCATCCCAGCTACTCAAGAGGCCTAAAGGAGGAGAATAGAAGTCCCGGCCATCCTAAGCAAAAAACTCAAGACCCCATCTGAAAAAAAAAAAAAAAAAAAAGGGATGGGAGACGTGGCTCAAGTAGTAGAACTTGAGGTCCTGAGTTCACACCACAGTACCTCCAAAAAAAAAAAAAAGTCAAGATTGAAGAATGTACTCCTTAAGTAGACAGTGTAAATGTTGGACTACCTTCCATTCACTTGATTCCCTCAGGACCCCGTATTTCCTCTCAGGAAAGATAATACATAATTCATGATTCAAATTATTTTAAAAGACCTATTTTCTAAACTGGGCATACGTACTGGTGCATGCTTGTAATCCAGCAGTTGGGATCATGAGTTCGAGGCCAGTCTGGGTTACATAACAAGAGCCTTAAAAAAAAGGAAGGATTTGGAACCAGTGGCTCACACCTATAATTCCAGCTACTTAGGAGGCAGAGATCAGAAGGATGGCTACTAAAAGCCAACCTAAGGCAAACACACACTATCTTGAAAAAACTCAATATAAAGCAGGGCTAGCAAAGTGGCTCAAGTGGTAGAGCGCCTCTCTAGCAAATGTGAGGCCCTTTGTTCAAACCCCAGTGCCTGCCAAAAAAACAAACAAGCAAAAAAGGAGGTAGAGATCCACAGAATCGTGGTTCAAGGCCAGCCCAGAGAAATACTTTGTGGGATCCTATCTTGAAAATAACCATTAAAAAAGGGCTAGCAGAGTGGCTCAAGTGGTAGAACGCATGCCTAACAAGCATGAGGCCAAAGGAAGGAAGAAAGGGCAGACTAGTTTCCACTATATTTCATCCAAAGCAGAGTTTCTAAATGACCTGAATTGTTGTAAAGCTTTACATGCCTTGAAGAAAAAAGTACAAAACAAGTCAAAATGGCCAACTATATTCATATATACTAACTCTCCAAAATAAATTTTGGCTTTCTAATTAAGGGTAAATTATTGGTTCTATTTTAAAATCAGTAAATAGAATCACAAAAAGTCACTTATATTTAGAAGTGTCAATAAATAAACGCAAACTCATTTATGAAAAACAAAAAAAAATAATTTCAATCACAAAAAAATCAGAAGTGCTCAAAGTATGCAGATAAAGGCGATTTTTGTACTTCATATTTGTCTTGTCTAAAACAATTTTTTAATGTAGTATTGAACCTCTCTCTTAGTTTTACCTTTCAGTGAATAATGTCCCACTAATTGTAAGGATACTTCCAGGCAAAAGACTTGTTTTCATTATGTAAACCAGGGCTACTATATGCAGATGAGGTTTGCCATAAGAATGCTTAAAAAACAGTAACGTTTTAGGGCTGGGGGTGTAGTTAGTTCAGTGGTAGAGCACTTGCCTAGCCTGCCAAAGGCATTGAGTTGATCCCCAACATCACAGGAGGAAAAAAAAAAAATAAAAGCTTTGTTTTGTTTTTTAAAGCAATGCCTGCACTAGTAACTGCTGTTAATGAATTTAGTTTTTAAGCACAATGTATTTTATATGAATATAATTTATTTTCTCTTTTGTTTTTTTTTTTTGGGGGGGGTAGGATTTTGGTTGGGTTTTTTTGCTTGTTTTCTGAGACTGGCTCTTGCTATGGGTCCTAGCAGCTTCAAACTTGAGTGCTGGAATTACAGATATACACCACCACATCTGGTTCTACGTATAAATTCTAATAATGTAACTGATCTTTTCAATCAGAGCTTTCTGACAGTTACATTTAATGCTTCTTTTAACCATATTTTACACTTACTGAGTGTTTCAAGGATTTAAATTCCATTAGTTATTACATTATTTAGCACAACATGAGCACTGCAATCATCCCTTTTTTTTAAACATGCAAATAAGTTATAAAAAAACAACTATACAAGTATCCAAGGTCACCAATAAGTAAGTGACAAAATTGAGAGTAGCATAAAAAATTTCAGCCCCTAGACTACTAACTACTTCAAATTCTCAATTCCACAAAAGAGAAACAGTCAAGTCAGTTATTTTCAAAAAGTTCTAACAGCATACTTCAAACAGCACAGTACACTTACTGGATTAAACGCTAATCAGAAAGATTCACCTGGAATGAAAGAAACAACGTGCTATAGTCTCTCCCCTAGTTCTTATAACCAAGCAAATACACTGTACTGGATCTGGATATGTCAAATCCTAGGAAATAACTACTGTTCAATACGTACAATTTATTTTTCACTAACTGAACATTTATAAACTACTAATCTTTTACCACCTTGTCGGAGGCGTTATGATATACACTAACTTCCCACACTCTGCCAAGAGTCGTCAAAGACCACCACCTCAAAAGTAAGCAGCTCTCGAAACACAGTTACATTGCCAATGAAAGAAAAGTTCCAATATAAACTACTGCTTTTAAAGAGACATTTTAAAACATGATTACATGCTTCACAGAATTACTGTTAGGGTGCCTGCCAAGAAGGATGGCTCCTTTAAAGCAGCTTTTAAGGCATATCCCTCCCTGTTTGGGACATAGCCTGACTTGTTGGACAAGATTAATCTGGGCACGCTCACACAGAACCCCTCTGAAGCAACCTTCCAACGGCAATACTCAGCCCTTCCCATGCAACAAGGGCCAGGATGACCCTATGAACAATCTTTCAGAAGGTTCCTTGGGCGGAGACAATGACAGCTGAACTCCCGCAGAGGCTTTTGGAAAGAGTGTCAACACCAGGAGAGGCTCCTCGGAAGTGTCAGTGCGGCAGCAGGTGGAGTAGCCCTGCGTGCCCAGCCGGTCCTTTCTGACCTAGTCTCGGTCCTCCGCCTCCCAACCCCGGTCCCGCCTTACAGACCTTTCCAAGCCGCCTTGCGCCCCGTTCTCTAACCCAGTACAAGACCCTCAACCCTCCTGGGAAACCAGGCAATCTGAGCAGAGAAGACCGGCACCCCACCTCTTCCGGGGACTCGCGGGCCCGCTCCAGGCCATGTCAGAGCCTGACGGACCCTGCCGGCAGAGACCAACCAGCCGGCTCCTTCTGGGGCCTCGCAGCCGGAACCCCACGCGCCACGGTCCCTTTCCAGCACCCCCCCCCATACACACACACTCATACACCTTCCAAACACCACCGCCACCACCCTCCTCACTCCTGAATCCCCTTTCCTCAGGAGTACCCCACTGGAGTTACCGGCCCACTCAAAAGTAAGAGCGACGGCCATCTCCAATCGGTCACGCTGGCCCGGCTGTCACCGCCCTGCTTCCCGGCCTCTACTCGAGCTGCTGGCGGGCCCCGGTGATGTCTGGTTCAGTACCTTGCGGACCCCCTTGTAGATATAGAAGTAGAGCTCCCGGCCCACATTGAAGCAGAGGCGGTCGCCGTTGCCAGACTGGTCGTTGAGGTTTACGAAGGAGACGCGGACAGGGTTGGATCCTTGCGAGTTGAAGGGCACCCGGTTGGGCCGGCTGTACTCCGAGTGCGGCAGCAGCTTGTACAGACCTTCCCGGGTGGTGAACTGGGTCTTAATCTCGTTCATCTCCTTCCCTCCTCCCTCCGTCGCCATCTTGGAAAGCAGCGTTCATCCTGCCCTAAGTGCCCGGATCACGCCCACCGCGCAGGCGCCGTCCCTGGCGCTGGCTCTTCCCCCTGCCTCTTCCTCCTGGCCCCGCCCACCTGCCAGCCCGCCCCGTGAAGGCGGGCCGAGGGGAAGGGGCGGGCTTGTTTACGGCCCGATTGCGCACGCGTGCTCACCTGGCGGGGCGTCCGGAGGCTCCTCCCTTGGGTGCGGCCCAGGTGGTACCAGCGGAAGCTAGCGAGCGTTTCTGCTGCCAGGGTGTGAGAGAGTGCGTGAAGCAGAACCACACAAGGCTAGAGTGAACTTGGGGCGACCTCTTCAAGCTGCGCGGTCCCTGCTCTAAGGGGTCCCGACCCCGAGGAACCGAGCGAACACGCTGCCCGTTCGGAGTCCGAGCGTGGGGAGCCTGAGCCGAGCGCGGAGGTGTCAGTGTTCGGCCGGCCGTTACCACCGGTCATGGGCGTCCGGTTGGGCGGGGACTGACCCCCTCACCCCACCCGGATGGCTGAGGACCTCACCACCGTCGGGATGCCGGGCCAAGAACTCCTCTACGCTCCCCGAGTCTGTTTCCGGGAAGGTACCGAAGGGTTAAGTTTTGTTACGCTTCACTTTTTTTAGTTTAAGCCGGGGTGGGCAGGGTGAGTGTATTTGCGCATACAGCTGAGGCGTCTGAGAGTCCCTTATCTGAGTACCTATCCATAGTTGACAGATTTTAAGAAGTAGGTTGTGTTGGCACTTCTGTTTCCTATGTAAGGTGTCTCCGCCAGGTGGTTAGAAGAAGAGGGAAGCAGCAGGGCATCGCTTCGGGAGCTAGACACTAAGTCTGCAGGATTCACTTCTTTTGCTCAGTAGTTTATTAAGACCTCTTAGGAAAAGTAAAGGGAACTGAAGTTTTACAAAGCTCAGGTGGAATCTGAACGTGACAGCCATAGCCATAATTGTATGTATATGTTGTACAAGATCTAAATATGTCAGGAAAGGCACACGCATTAAAGTAGGACGAAACAATCACCATTTTAGACCTGTTTCTTGGCATGTGCACTGAAATAAGGCTTCTAAAGGAATTCTGATAAAATTTTAGAAAGGATTAAAAAAAAAAAAAGCAACATTTGTCACACAGAGAATAAACTGTTCCTGAATATTCAAGTCATGTGAGGTGTAGGGAGCTGGGCATGGTGGTTCGTGCCTGTAGTCTCAGCTGTTTGAGAGATTGAGGCAAGAAGATCACTTGAGCCCAGGAGTTCTGCCCAGTCTGGGCAACACAGTGAGACCCCTGACTCAAAAGAAGAAAAAGAAGAGAAGGTGGAGGGAGCTAAGTTTAAGCAGAAAGAGTTTCAGTCATAAGCATCTTAGGTAGTACAAAGCAGGCAGACAACAGTGGAAACTGTGCCAATGATGTAATAATGCATTTGACACTACCATCCTCCAGCTTGGGTGCATGTTGGCAAAAAAGCACTAGAGCAAAATCCTCCTTAATCCCTAGAATAGCTTAAAACTAGCTGGCAGAGTGGCTCAAGCAGTAAGAGTGCCTGCCTAGCAAACCCCAGTGCCGCAAAAAAAAAAAAAAAAAATGTTTTTAATGTTATCTGCCTTTCCCTAAAAGGCAAGTAGGTACCAGACCTCTTAAAAGACCAGAATATGTTCTGTGATTAATCCCAATCTCTTATACCCATGTTATTTTGCATTAAAGCGATGTATTTATAATGACCATCATGTTTCCTAGTTAACAGGCACAAATATAATAGCTTTTTTTTGTCGGGGGAGGACCTCAGCAAGCAAAAGTTAAAAGATTTTGCTGGCCCTGAACCACAACATTCTATTACCCATAGTACCTGTATACTTCAAGCATTCTATCAAGGTAGTATTCTGTATAAATTGAATATTTTTGCCAGGCATGGTGCTAACACACCTATAATCCTAGCACTCCAGAGGTTGAGGCAGGAAGACCACAAGTTCATTAATAGGCTATTCACTTTGTCTCATCTATGACCTTTGAGTAATTTCTGGTTTTAGTACTTTTGTAGTCCTTTTGTCCACATTCAAAGGTTTGAAAATAACACCCAAAGCTACATAACTGAGCCTAACATAAAGTTCATCTCTGATTTTCAATTTTAAATGCGAGGTAGTTCTAAATGAATTTATGTCTCAAATCTATCAGTCCCTAAGCCTTATCAGTTCCCTGTCCATTGAAAATTTGAATCAGGGCTAAGGGTGTAGCTCAGAGGCAGAGTGTTTAAATAGCATGTGTGAGGCTCTGCCTGGATTTGATCTCTGGCACCACAAAAAATAAAGTAAAACTTGAATTCATTATAGTGGTTCATGAATTGTTTCCACCATGTCACTTTTTCCTCTCAATTTTCCTCCCATATACATCTACTAAGTTGATTTTCTTAAAACAGTACTTTAGACATTACATTCTCTTTCCCAAACACTTTCAATAAGTTAGAGCACCCTCCTTATTTAAGTCATATATCAGCAACTTTCAGTCCATAACTTACATATTACATAAATCCTCCAACCCAATCAAGCTGTTCTCATGTCACACTAAGCTTTGTCCCTTGCTTGAAATGACTTTCCCTCCTTTTCTCCTTAATAGCCTGTTCTTTAAGATCTATCAGCACTCTGGAGGCTGAGGCAGGAGGATTTTGAGTTTGAGGCCAGTTTGGGCTACATAGTATGACCTTAACTCAGAAAAAAAAAAAAAAAAATCTAGCCAGGTGCTATTGGCTCGCCTCTATAATACTAACTACTTGGGAGGTGGAGATCTGGAAGATCTTGCTTAGAGGCCAGCCAGAGCAAAACAGTTTGTGAGACCCCTATCTCAGTCAATAACTGGACACAGTGACAGGCACTCCTGTTATCCCAGCTATGCAGGAGACTGAGATCTGGAGGATCATAGTTCCAGGTCAGACTCCAGCTCAATGGAAAAAGCTGGGCATGGTGGAATGGACCTGTCATCCCAGCTAAGGCTGAAAGCATAAAATAGGAGGATCTAGTCCAGCCCTCCCAGGCAAAGAAAAAGAAAAAAGATGAAAGAATAAAAGCAAGTACTGGCTCAAATCCAAGACTAGCCCCGGGCAAAAATAAAAGAGACCCTATGGGAAAAATAACTAAAGCAAAAAAAGGTGGGGAATGTGACTCAGGTGGTCAAGTGATAGAGCACCTGCCTAGCAAGTGTGAGATTCTGAATTTTAACCCCAGTACCAATCAAAAAAAAAAAAATCTCTGTCTCTAGGGCTGGGAGTGTAGCTCAGTGGGAAAAAAAACAAAACACCAAGGACTATGATATAGGTCTTCAGTGTTAGAACTCTTGTCTTGAATGCACAAAGCCCTGGGTTTGATTCTTAGCATCAATTAATAAATAAATACATAGAGTAAATAAATAAAATTATGGCCCACACCTGCAATCCTACGTACACAGGAGGCAGACATCAGGAGGATCTCAGTTCAAAGCCAGCCCAGGCAAATAGTTTTCTGGACTAGTTTTTTCTGGAAAAAACCCATCACAGAAAAGGGTTGATGGAGTAACTCAAGATGTAGGCCCTGAGTTCAAGCCCCAGTACATTGTAGTGCTGGGAAGTAGCTCATTGGTAAAGTACTTGCTTACTGTGTTCAAGGTATTTGGTTCAATTCCCAGCACCAGAAAGTGGGGTGGCAGGAGGGGGTGGCATAGAGAAGGCTAACAATTCAGGCCAAAAGTAACGGGCTTGGACTATGAATGGTAGTAGTTGAGATAAAGAGAGAAAATCCTAAATAGGCACTGACCTTAAAGCCAGTAGGATTTTCAGCAGATTGGATATGACTTATGGGAGAATTGGAGTAGTCAGGTATGACTCCAAGATAGGCACAATCAACAAGAGTATAGAAATTAACTGAGATGAGGAAACTGAGAAAGAGCAAGTTTTAAGAAGACCAGTTCAGTTTTGAACATATTGAGTATGAGATGTCTATTTAGAGGAAATCAGGAGGCAATTCAGTAACCCAGTCTGGAGAGCAGTCTGAGCTGTAGCTAGGTATTTGGCAAGCCATCAGCAGATCACTAAGGAAATGAGTGTGGATAAAAAAAAGGACTGAAGACTGAACACTGGTACAACTTGAGGTGGAGAGAAGGAGAAATATTTGTTGAAAACATAAAGCATGCCACTTTTTTGTAACTTAGTACATACAGAGTATTCACTTTAGGGTAAATTTACCAGTTGTCTTTCAGACTCAGAGATTAATCCATTAAGACACTTAAAAACATTTTTCAACTTTGAGGAAAAGGTTTTAACTACAGTGACATTACAAAGAGAAATAGGCATAGATAAGTATCTTTTGGAACCACATTTGAAATCTTCACTGCCTCATTAATGTGAAGTAACCAATCTCAGGTTTATCTTTTTAGACAGGCTTATTCTATTATTGCAATATGATTCAGTGCTTCCTTATAAGACCATTATGAGACTAGAAAACATCACATAATATACTGTCCTTAATACAGCACTCTCCCTCTGTGCCTCAGATTTGCAGAACATTAAAACTGACACATCATCCAGATTGCTAAACTATGATATATTTTTAAATACAAATTGATCTCACACAAAGCGTCTTTTTCTGATCATTATTAAGTAGATGCAACCCTAATAAAGTTTAGCATTTCTAATCTGAAAATTTGAACTCCAAAATCCAAAATCTTTTGAGAACCAACATGACACCAAAAGTGGAATTCCACACTGATCTCATGTGATAAGTCACAGTCAATACACAGGTACACTAAAAATACTGTATAAAATTATCTTCAGTCTATATGTATTAGGTGTATATGAAATGTAAATGAGTTTCGTGTTTAGACTTGAGATATAGCTCATTATACATCTGTAAATATTCCAAACTCCAAAGAAATCTAAAATATCTTCCAGTCCCAAACATTTCAGATAAGGGTTACTCAACCTATATCTCACATGTATCTTGAAATATAAGTGATTTTTTAAAGACTGTGTGTGTGTGTGTGTGTGTGTGTGTGTGTGTGTGTGAGAGAGAAACTGGGGTTTGAACTCAGGGCTTTGTGCTTACAAAGCAGGAGTTCTACTGCTTGAGCCACACCTCC